GGACACTCTTGCGGGACACTCTTGTAGGACACTCTTGTGGGACACTCTTGTGGGACACTCTTGTGGGACACTCTTGTGGGACACTCTTGTGAGACACTCTTGTGGGACACTCTTGTGGGACACTCTTATAGGACACTCTTGTAGGAAACTCTTGTGGGACACTCTTGTAGGACACTCTTGTGGGACACTCTCCTGGGACACTCTTGTAGGACACTCTTGTAGGACACTCTTGTGGGACACTCTTATAGGACACTCTTGTGGAACACTCTTGTGGGACACTCTCGTAGGACACTCTTGTGGGACACTCTCGTAGGACACTCTTCTGAGACACTCTTGTAGGACACTCTTGTGGGACACTCTTGTGGGACACTGTTATAGGACACTCTTGTAGGAAACTCTTGTGGGACACTCTTGTAAGACACTCTTGTGGGGCGCTCTTAAAGGACACTCTTGTGGGTCACTCTTGTAGGAAACCCTTGTGGGACACTCTTGTAGGACACTCTTGTGGGACACTCATATAGGCCACTGTTGTGGAAAACTCTTGTGGGACAATCTTGTAGGACACTCTTGTGGGTCACTCTTGTAGGAAACTCTTGTGGGGCACTGTTTCGGGACACTCTTGTAGGACACTCTTGCGGGACACTCTTCTGGGACACTCTTGTGGGACACTCTTGTAGGACACTCTTGTAGGAAACTCTTGGGGGGGACTGTTTTGGGACTCTCTTGTAGGACACTCTTGCGGGACACTCTTGTAGGACACTCTTGTGGGACACTCTTGTAGGACACTCTTGTGGGCCACTCTTACGGGGCACTCTTGTGGGACACTGTTGTGGGACACTCTTGTGGGGCACTCTTGTGTGTCACTCTTATGGGACACTCTCTTGCGAGACACTCTTGTAGGACACTCTTGTGGGTCACTCTTACACGACACTCTTGTAGGACACTCTTTGTGGGACACTCTCAAAAGCACTCTTGTGGGTCACTCTTATGGGACACTCTTGTCGGACATTCTTGTGGGACAGTCTTGTGACACACTCTTGTAGGACACTCTTGTGGGTCACTCTTACAGGACACTCTTGTGGGACACTCTTGTAGGACACTCTTGTAGGACACTCTTGTGGGACACTCTTGTGGGACACTCTTGTGTGACACTCTTGTAGGAAACTCTTGTGGGACACTCTTGTAGGACACTCTTGTGGGGCACTCTTATAGGACACTCTTGTGGGACACTCTTAAGGGACACTCTTGTGAGACACTCTTGTGGGACACGGTTGCGGGACACTCTTGTGGAACACTCTTGTGGGACACTCTTGTGGGACACTCGTGTCGCGACACGGTCTGCCCACACACTAGAAGCAGTCACGCGAGCGTTTCGTACGAGACTTCCTCCAAAAGTCACGCTTCGAGGCTGCAAGACGAGCGTTTCGTACGAGACTTCCTCCAAAAGTCACACGTCGAGTCTCCAAAACGAGCGTTTCGTACGAGACTTCCTCCAAAAGTCACGCTGCGAGGCTGCAAGACGAGCGTTTCGTACGAGACTTCCTCCAAAAGTCACGCGTCAAGTCTCAAAAACGAGCGTTTCGCACGAGACTTCCTCCAAAAGTCACACGTCAAGTCTCCAAAACGAGCGTTTCGTACGAGACTTCCTCCAAAAGTCCAGCGGAAACACCCATCGGAGCACACACATCACGCAGCCTTGCCTAGCAATTTCGCGATTCCAGCCCCTCCAAACGACACCCGCTCACACGCCAATCCCAATGTGACAGCGACATTCACCTCTACCATAACTCACGACCTCGCGATTCCCTGCGCCTGCCACGAATCTTTCCGCATCCACACGTCTAACGCGCACAAAGTACTGCGCCTGCCACGAAATGTCACCTCCGTCACACCTCCGTCACACCTCGCAACCTCACGATTTCCTGCGCCTGCCACGAAAATCGCACTTCCACACCTCAAAATCAGCACAAAGTACTGTGCCTGCCACGAAAAGTGAGAATATCATCTCACATGAGCTTCAACAAAATTTGCACCACACCACACGTTTAGAATGATTTCGACCCGTTCTGAGCACACTCCCATCCACCAAAATCGCCATTTCAGCTGAGACTTGTCACGAAAACAGAGCTTCGAGGCCACACCCTGAAATGCAAATCCCAATGGCACGGCCACATCCAACACCCCAAAAACACGACTCTCCAAACGCTAATCCCAATGGAACTGCGCAGTAAACTGCGGATCTCTCAAACCACTGCGCCTGTGCAGCGAAATGCATCACGTTTCTTGCGCGACATGTCATTTTCATGCAAATCACAATGGAATAGCGTCGCAAACTGACACGTGACACATCCATGAAAAGTCACTTGCAAAAGCTTCCCCCAATGGCAGCGCCTTAGCGTCCTACTGCGAACGGTTGCGAACGGTTGCGAACGGCTGCGAACCGTTGCGAACGGTTGCGGACGGTTGCGGACGGTTGCGGACGGTTGCGAACATAGAAACAACGGATCGCGAACAAGACTCTACCCCCAGACCCCCAGAGTTAAACGAGAACCCTTCGCTACGCATTCGGGAAAAAAAACATCATTAGGTGCTGGGGAGCTGCATCTACAACAAACAGTTGCAGCTGCAGCTCGCCATGCGCGCCGACTTGCACCTGCACTTTTCAACCACCAGCCGGCATTCCAATCAGCAGCCATTGCATCACGTGAATTGGCGGCGTGAGGTTCGATTCGCTTGGGTTCAATTTGTGGAACAAATCCCGTCAGCGGGTCCCTTTGAACCACCCATTCGCTATTGATGTGGGTCTAGTCTTGGTGCTTCATCCTTCCATCGTCCGCCCAAGGCTCAGTCTGGCCTGCTGCAAAGGAGATCAGGTTTGCAACAGTTCCAATGGTTCAGCCAATGACCTGAACCGAGCTCTGACCAGTGCTCTCTCTTCACAGGAAAGAGTGCCCAGTGAGTTCTGGGCACCGTGACCTTCCTCGCCTTGGACCGAGAGAAACATCCCATTCTTTGGAAGACTATTTGGCCACTAGCCTGCGGACCCTCAGGCGGTGCAGGATGGGCCTTCACTGAACACTGTTGATGAGAAACTGTGAAGACTCACGAGCTAGAATTGGTCCACCATCCGCCGGCATGGCATTTGTGGGGGGGTGAAGGCACCTTCGTGCCAAGTTGCAAGAAATAGTACTGGGCTCAGTCAGTTTGGTTCACTCTCCCCTTCATCCCTGTGTGACCACCAAAACTTCCTCAAGCAATCCCAAACCCCGGGAAGCTAGACTTACGATTGACCACTCAAAGAGAACTACCATAGCAAAGTGAAAGTTTTCTCTTGAACCCTGTCAGACCGAGCTGCATCAGAACTCAGTAGATGCATACACTCTGACGAACACATCACATGTGTTACGTGGATGGCATGGTCCCTTGGAAGACGACTTTCCCTTACCGAGCAGGACGTGAACTCCACTTCCATGTTAGTGAGTTGGAGTCTGTTCTAGAAAGCGGGGCCTCTGCAAATCGCGTTTCCAGGCAAATTGCCATGGCTGTTTGAGGTTGAGCATGCTTCTCCTTCCAAAACATGCCCCCAACTCAATCATGACTTGGGCCGATGGTGCAGGGATCTTCATGATCTAGAATTTCAATCTTACACGAAACATCGGCCATGCAGCCATGCACCAGAAAAATACGTGAACTTCAAGCGAAGGATGGTAGATTTGATCTGTCAGGGCAAGTTCTCTCATTTCCGGTCGTGCTGTTGCTTTAAAAAAGAATCCTGCACCATTCCTTCGGCAATCCCAGGACCACTTCCAAACCCTGGCCTTGCGCTGCACGCGCGTCCGCGAAGCTGGCATCTCGGCTGCGCCGGTGGCACCAGCAAAGGCGCCGCCCTGGCGTGGTTGTCAGGGTTTTCGTGGCATGACCCAAAATGCTCTCACCCAATATGTTTTTGTGTTCTTTTTCTCTTGCTCATTCTGTATGTGGGCTTGGGGTCTTCGCCCTCACCCCAGTGTCTTCTCCCAGACCCTCTCAGGAGGGCACCGGCTCTCCTCAAACAACTTGGGCAAACAGACCGGATTGAGCAGGATTTCCATCCACTTGGGGCAAGTGGGGGAGCCGCAACTCCGCATTTATCCTGCAGATTCCGGCAGCTGGGCCACCAGCGACGAAGAAATTCAAGCAAAAAACGCTGCAATGGTTATCGAAGCGCATCCTGCCTTGGATCACTTACGCACCACAAAATTGGATCACTTACGCACCACGGAGCTCTAAACTGCTGTAAGGGTTGCCAAAATGACTCAACCACCCGAGGTCCGCATCCACAGCCATGCTCACTTACGCACCACGAATCTCCTGATCACATCATCACATCTTACATCCGGGTGGGGTGGGGTGGGGTGGGGGGGTGGGGGTGGGTGGGGATCTAATGGAAGCTTGCGGTGCACAAGCGAGACAAATCCGCGGTGCACAAGCGACCCACCAACCGTGTGTGTGTGTGTGTGTGCGTGCGTGTGTGTGTTGCTACATCCCTAATCTAGGATGCCGACTCTTTGCTCACCATCGCTGTTCACTCGCCACCCTCCCCAAAAGAAAAACAAACTGTCCCCACCTCCAGCTCCACATGCTTCGGCGTGGCGGGCGCGACGAAGCTCCTGGCTTCGTGGCTGCGAGGCCCAGAGGATCCAAAGGATCACAAGGACTCAGCGCCAAAGGATTCCAAGCGTCCTTGCTACTAGTACGGTGCACCTTGCTACTAGTAGTAATGCCAAAGGAGCTACCAGTAGCTTCTTGGATTTCAGGGCTTCTTGGCCCAGTAATTCCAATGGACATGAACATGGACTTTGGGTCACACCCTGTACACACTCCCCGGTGAGAACCCCACTACAGCTGTGGCAACCATCGTCCTGCAAACATCCAGGGCACCCACAGGGCCATGCCATTAGGATCTGGTCCGAACCCACAGGGCCATGCCGTGCCTCTCTCGGGCTCTTTTGCACATCAAAGCGCTCTGACTGCATTGCTCAGCTGTACGGCCCCGAGTTGCCATTGTTTGAAAGACGTCCTTTGGGCGTCGCCAATGTGCTGACTTTAGAATACTGAAACCTTAAGACGAAACCAGAAAGCTCGGTGAGGTAAAATTTGCATCCCCACCTGTGTATATAAACATGCTCCAGCTGGCACATCCTGAATGCTCTGGCAACCTGGATGTCTCACACCAAACAATCATGGCCTGTGTCCTGTCCAAATGGCCCCAAACCCACCAGGGCATGGAATCAATTCCCAAGAACCCGATTCCAGAAGGTGACACCCAACAGGAACCAACAAGCCCTTGGGGTCACCGAAGTTCATCTATATAACTTCGGAGGGGGCCACCCTGGAAACTCTCTGGAAGAGACCTCTGAACGCTGAGGAGCTCCAGCTCTCAGCTCCACAACCTCACATTGACCACCTCCATCTGCGCGAAGACTTCGACCACGTCCTTGCAGCTTCTCCCCCGTGACCCACCAACACCGACGGAATCTTCTAAAATATCCATCAAGAACATTGACATAGACGAGCCACAAAGCGCCCTTTTTCACCTTAATCTGGGATCAAAGATCCACTTTCTCTCTCGCCACAAATGGCCTGTCACGAAAACTCCCACGGAACTCGGTCCTCGATGTCCACTTCAGCCGCCTCTTCTTGGCTGATGGCATCTACGCAAGTGATTCGCAAGTCTCCAGACAAGGAATTGCCCGTGCCAGGCGCTTGGAAGGCGACGGACGGAAGAACGACTTGGCCCGAGGAACCGCCGTGGATGGAGGCATTCACCTGAGCGAGCCGCCATCGATTCGACCGACCCCCGCAGCGAAGCGAGCGCTCGGCGGAGACCTTTCGGCCGATGGAAAACGTGAAGTTGCAGACATGCCCTCTCACGAATGATGAAGCCGGAGGTTTAGTGGGCATTTGCACTGGTTTTATGACTAATTGTTCCTGCTATGATTGAAAAATGTTAAAATAACTATATTTGAAAATGAATCGCTCTAAACAAGAAGCCAAAATCAAAAAATAGATGGGATGCATTTGAAGGATGCGACAAGGATAGGAAAAAAATAGATAACTTCCGATAGCTGCTAGCTAGTGTCCAATACGAATGGAAACACTCAAGACAAGGCTCCACAGAAGATGAAGCAGAAGGAACCAAGAACACAGAAACAAATCTCGGACACGTGCGCACAAACAGAAATAGACTCGACATAGACATAGACACACGTGCTGAATCACTTGAATACACTCCATCTTCTGAATCTTCCAAGCATTAACATTACTGAGTATTTTCAGTGTGTGTGTACAGTGTACATAATAAGTACCGTACATATAGGCTCTAGATTCTACATTCTAGATATAGAGAGACTCTAGCAGCTAGCAGCTAGCACTCTGCTCAGTTAGACTCAGCTGATGCAATCTGCCAGCTTCAAGTTCTTTTCCTTGGTGCTACACGGCATCAAGAATAAGTCCAAGCAAGGCATGTCTTGCTCTTGCTGTTGTAGGTGAGCAATCAAGGCCCCGCCCTCCACGTTTTGCGCAGGTTTAAGAAAAAGGATCCTCCCTCCACGTCGGAAATCCACCCCCTGTGTTTTCCTCGGTTTTGCGCGGGGCTGCACCTCTGCTTGCACCCAATCTCGCACTGACGAACGGCAGCGGTGCTCGAGCCATTCCAGTAGGTTGGGCAACTGCTGCACCTTCACCTGAGACCAACTGTACAAAGGAGATGACTGTCGTCAAAACGCCCACATCACCCCTCAACCCCTAAATCCCTTCCAAGACTTTTGTCAAGCCCATATCACGCTTAGACTCTTATCCAAAGCTTTCGCGCAGGAGAGTGGAACCACGCTGTTCAGGGGTCTTTTGGAGCCGTCTCGCACGCGCCACCTGACCCGGTTCGAAAACGCTCCGCGCCACCTGCTCCGACGGCTCCGAAAAGTCGAAGGTGACCGAGCGGAGGATGAAGCCCTCCTCCTCGGACAGAGCATCCACCAGCAGGGTGATCTTCTCCAGTTCCTGCCGCCAACCGATGGAAAAAAGAGGCCACCCGAATGCGGGGCCACCCGCATCGAATGGGTTTATAGCTTTCACTGGTAAAGTCAGACTTGACACATCTTTACACCATGTTATACCTTGATCATCTGGAAGCTACTAGTAGCGGCACAAAAGACTTCAGATGTGGCCAGAAATGCACGTCACCTGCTGGCTCTTTCGTCGTGAGCCACCGAACCAAAGGCTCGTCTCCCGAAATCCGCCGTACCCGCGGTCCCAGTCCTTCAACTCTTGGATGCACTGGGACGGTACGGTCTCCGTAGGGTTCTCCTCGGAGAAGATCCGCGACTGCCGTCCCACCAAGAACCGCATGTCGCTCGCGCCTCCATCCAGTCCGTGCTCACTCAGGTGCTCCTCGTGCTCGTCGCGGGTGAGGCCCACGAAGTGTCCCGCCTCGGCAAGCTTCACCAGGAAGACCTTGGCCTTAAAGGTGACGCCGTTCGCGTCGGCCAAGCGGAGCGGCCCAGTGATGGGAGACGAGTCCGGGGACGAGCCGGCCAGCTCCACCATGGAATGGAAGCGCGCCTGGTCGTGCGAGCTCACGAAGTCCGTGAAGGGCTGGCCAATGGCCTGTCGAGTGGCTCTGAGCAGGCCTAGGAAGCTCTCGGAGAGCATGCCAATCTGCAAATCCTTTGAAATGGAGGCCGTGGCATCGCAGGTGATGCTCAACAAACGCTTCAGCGCATCTGCCATGCTGGTGGCTTCCTGTGCACACCGCTCCGCAAAGATGGTGGACACCACCTGCTTGGAGAGCGTGGAGTCACGGTTGATATACACCAGCAGCACCGAAGCCAAACAAATCACCTCGCTCACCGCAAAAAGGACCAGCTCGAAGATGGACGGCGTCCACAACACGAAGACCAGCGCATGAATTGGGAGTGAAGCTATCTGCATCTTCAGACCCAGCCTGGGCTCCGGCACCAGCTCAATCGCCGCAATCCGTCCCAGCCCCGCGACGCGCTGCAGCTCGGAGGGGGCCAGCACCGTAGCACTCAGCAGCACCGAGACCATAAGGGCCGTGTCCCGGCGAATGGTCTCAAAGCTTCCACATTGGTGGATGAAACGTAATAAGCAGCCCATCATCATCGCGAGCCACAGAAAAGCCACCTCGGCGTTGGACAAAGGATCGGAACGCTGGAGCCGCAACCCCATCTGGACTACTGCCGCCAAGCTGGACACCACATCATTCAAGCAAATCCAGAGAGGCAGCATGGCCCGGAAGTTCTCATAGTGCACAAAGTTCTTCTTCTTAGCTTCTTCTGGAGCTCCCTGGCCCACCACTGCTCCAGCTTGGGCCCACACCTCCTTGAAAGGGTGACCCCAAAAGAGCGCCAGGGAAAATTGCCCAAGGATGACTGGCAGCACCAAGGGCTCTAAAGAGATCCCCCAGAGGTCCATTGCTCTCAGTCCCGCTCGGATCCCCCACATGCCCGACCTGAGCCGAACACAACGGCTTCGGCATGGCCAGTGGCACAGCTGAGCTGGGGGATCTGTGCGACCGCAACACACATGCAGTGTGTGTGTGTGTGAGTGTGCGTGTGCGTGTTTGCGTGTGCGTGTGTGGGTGTGTGTGTGTGTGTGAGCATGTGTGAGCTGGAACGACGTAACCCTTCGTGTTGGTGATGCAGTAGTTGAGGCTACCTGCCTACAGCTCATGGACTGACCTTCATGGATTTGGGAGCACAGAGCATGAAAAGGACCACAGGTCTCAATGGTCACCTGCCTCCGGACGACCTAACAGCCTGTCTGAGTGGAACCCCTGTTCGCTGGTGGCCCCAATTGGCGCATCCAACCAAAAAGAAAGTCAATCTTTCCTTTTGAAGTTCTATGCGGCACTATGCGTCCAACCCCAACACTGCCCCACCCACCATGACATGACGACACCACCAGTCTTCGAGGTCCTGGTGGCGCCCAAGGCGACGGCGAGCACCAGCACAGTGCTCCACCGCGCTCGGCGAGCCTTGAGACAGAAGTTTGACAACTCCGAGTCGAGACGAGTGGAGACTCCAGGTTTCAGGGATTCAGGCGGCCTAGTCGAGGTTTCAAGGAAATGTTGCATTTGACAAACAAACCCCTGCGGAAGACTGTGCTGTTTCTCGATGTTTCTCGCATCACAGAACCCCCCCGGCCTATGTGGTCTCCAAACTGCTCAATCCTAAACTGACTAAGATTCAAGCCGCCCAAATGTCACAAAACCTGGCCCATGTCATGCCCAGCGGCCGGCTTCGCCATCATCTCTCTACGTTCGTTCGTTGGAGCACCGCCGGCTTGGGCCAGGCATTCGGTCGGGCAGAGGAAAGGTTCAGTTCCTGACTGAAAGAAATCAATAAGTGCAAAATGTTCAACCTTGAAAGACACGCTAAAGTTAAAGACCACCCCCACCCCTCTCATGGAGGCAATCTCTGACTTTCGAGGCCGTCCACTTCCATGGTGTTTTTTGGGGCGCACCGTCGCCCACTTCATGAACCACATCCCAAGGCAAAAAACAAAACTCACCACACACGTAGCACACCCCTCTGCTGGGTTCCCGGTGCTCGTGCGCGGAGCTCCAACTCAGATCTTTGCGCCTGCAGAGGGAGAAACAAATAACGCCTCGTCCGGTGGGAAAACAACCTCATCTGAGCGCCAGCTCCATCCCCGAGTCCGTTTTGAAGCATCTGCTTTTGCTGGTGGCATGACTTGGTCACTTGGTCTTTTGCCTTGTGGATTGCTTCAACGATAAGACCGGACAACGTGTTGCACACAGAAACGCCTCCTCTTTATAACCGCGTCCTTTTGTGGCAGGGTTTGTAACATAATTGTCGTTCCGTTGGTCCACCGTTTCACCGCCGTTTCGTTCCGCTGAAAACTCACGGGCTCGAGGTGACCATGGACTGTGCATGAAATAAAACCCCTGTCGCACCCAATGCTACAATTCCTGCATTCGAGCTCACACTACGGCCCATGGGATGAGTGAAGAATTGGCTTGCAGAAAGCACATCAGCATTGATGTCCGGCGGCGGGCGTTTCAATAGGAACATTCACAAGAAGTTTGAAAAGGCTGTTGCTGACATTCTCTTGAAGAAAAGAACGGAATCCGGAACAGGAACACATACAAGAAACATGTCACGAAAGCGGCTCCGAGCATGGTCATTTATATAGATATATATACCATGTTCTTCGGCACCGACCTCGATGTTCAGGCTACACAATCCCGTCAACGAAACTCCCTCCACATCGCCCTCAAAACGAGGAAAATACGGGCAGATGACTATGGAAACCTTGAGAAAGCGCCAAAACGTGACAAACCTTGAGGTATTCCCTCGGTTTGTTGAAATACCCCACCAGCTGGCCAGCTGGGTTTAGGCACAAACCAGCGCACCAAACTGGTAACTGGCCTCTTCAGCCTGTGAAGATTTCACTTGGAGTTCTCGTTCCAACGTCTCCACCTGGCTGAAAAGCATGACGAAGCACCATATATAGCACGGTATTGCAAATGGATCAATGCAAGTGTCAACACTTCAACGACTGTTCCGAGAATCGACGTAAACGTTCAACAAAACAAGTTTCAAGCGCGGCATCCTCGCAGTTTTGAGGTTTTGAGCGCTGGTCTGGAAATGCAACATTGACGTTTTGCACTCTCTTGTGCAACGCCGAAAACACGCAACCGCCAGCCTGCATGCTCAAGTACCTCCATGAAAACGAAAACAAAACAATCAAAAGCACCAGTTCCGAAGAAATGCTTGCCAACTTGCGTGCGACGGAAAATACTCCCGGAACCCTGAGGAACCCTGAAAGCCCATGAGCGCCACCGTGCCGTTTGCGATCCATCCAAGCACGATCCGGACCAGCCGAAAGCATTGCAGCCACGCAGGTTCGCACCCTTCCGGCCCGACCGTACCCATCGCCAAGTCGCATGTGCATATCTTCGCCATTCGGCGCCATGGGCACGCCAATGGCTTCCTGAACGCGATGCGCACCGGGTTTTCATGGTACGTGTGCATAGAATCAGATTCAAAGGAAGGTCAAAAACAGCTTGGCCAAACACTCGCCAACAGAAGGCACCTTGCCGCCCTTCTTTCCTTTCCCTTTCCTCAGGCGCTGCAACCGGAAAGGAAAGGTGCAAAGGTCAAAATGTGGGAAAACTGACCCTCTCGTCTTTTTTCCGTGCCCACTTTACGTGCCCACTCTACAACAGGTCAACTCCAACCGTTTTTCAGCCGCAGCGCAGATGGCACCTCTTTTTGGTTCACGTTGCTGTGAAAGAAGCAGGGGTGCAGTTCAAGTCTCCGTTTCCAAAAGTGTTTGATGTCCGAGTCGCTTTCCCATGGCACCAGCAAGATACAACTTTCCAAAGTTTGATAGGAGCGGCTGCAGCAGCAGGAGCGAACAAAGCAAAAGTTGTGGATTGGCCGAAGAGGTTTCTTCCCTGATTTCATTATTGATTTTCTTGGTATCATCGCATGCCACCGACCAAGGAAACACCATGCCAACCGCGAGATTGGCCGAAATCCTCCACCGGCCAACAGCGCGGCTGACTGGTAGAACGCCTTGCTGACCACATTAAAGCTTTACTGCTTAGATATACTCCTGCATGCTTGATAAACCGGAGGCTGTGGACTCACGGTCCTTGTGGATGTACAAGGCCTGAGGACGAACGATTGGAATACTCAAGGCCTGGATGCTGCCCGGATCCAATTCCAGTTTTGCGCATCATTTCAGCCTTGGACGCTCCGGGAAACGACATGTTCAGTTTCAAACCTTGACTTTTTGGGGAATACACACACCTGGTCTTTATGTACGTGGGTAGTTGGGCCCGTCCGCTTGCAACATCAGCCTGCTGAGGACAATCTCAGCAAAGCCGTGTTTTTCCCTGCCTTGGGCGGCCATGAAAATTGTTCAAACGTGCGGCCGCTTGCGCAAAGCTGTATATTGTTCTTTGGAAATCATGGTAGCCCAAATGGGCTTCGGTCCATGCGCTGGTCTCGTTTGTGTTGCTCATTGTTCCCAATGTTCCTCCCACAGCACTGGGCATCCCATGCGTCCAACCACAACCACCCACATGCCGCCGAGGGATTAAGTTGAAATTTAAGGGCGAATCGGGAACTGTTAATGAGTCAATCATTTTTCCACCGGTTGCTGACAAGAAGTTGGCCCTGTCATGGATAAACATACTCGCGGCCCCCCTCTTGATTCTTGATTGATGGTCCTTCGCCTGACCTCAGCCACGTCCTTGCCACCTGGGCTTGGCCATGGGCTGAGGCACGACAGTTTCGCTCGGTAACTGTCGTCCGTCCTCGCCTCCTTTCACCCGCCTCACCACTTGCCAGCGCGGGGAACAACATCAAACCAGGTTTCCGGTCCGCAAGACCAACCGATTGCCTCAGCGAGCAGCAGCACGAACCGGAGGGAAGAGAGTGGCTATGTGGCTGCAGGCAGCGAACCAAAAGCAGGCATGTAGGTTCTTGCTTCAAAGGCGTCATAGTTGTCTTCCCGGGGGCAGCAGCGGCATAGTTTAGGGATCCCTCGTGGGTAGTGGGTTGGGGGGTTTTCCGTTATCTTATAGAGAAATTAGAATGGGGTGTCCACCTACCGACCTCTATAAAATGCAGCGCCTGGCACATATATAGACTGTAAACCAGGCTTCAAGAATCTACCAAAAACTCATCAAGAAGATTTCACAAATCTCTCTATAGAATGCAGCAGCCAGGTTCAGCTGATTGCCATCGCTGCTACACAAATAGTCTCTATGAAATGAGATTCCAGGTCCAAGGTATCTGCAATCAAAAACGCAACATGTATCTATAAAATGGATACCACGTCCTTAGATCCCCCATGCTTGTTGGGCTGTATGCCTATCCAAACATTTCACAAGACTTGGGATGTGTCACGAAGGCATGATATAATATATGCAAATTGGCAACAAAATGGTTGTTGTACATAGAGATGCCGGCGCACGGCTCTGCATGGGAAGTTGCACATGGAGCTTGGAACAACAAACTGGCTTCCACAGGACCAGGTGCGTCAATTCATTTAGAAGGATGCTTCCTTTAGGCCCTTCCACATAGGCAGGGGACCAGAGGAGATCTATGGAGCACAAAACATGGATGAGACAGAAACGTGCGACCACCTCCAAGTACATCCGGTGTAAGACAAGGAATGTACCGGAGGCCCAAGGGTCGCGCAACCAGGGAAAGGAAAATGGTGGGTCAGGCAAGCAAAGTGAGACCAAGGAAAAAATGGCCAGCCGCAAGGGACCGATGCTGGAAAATGGTACCCCAACAGGCTGGCGGGCGGATTGGTAGAAAGCGAAACGAAGAAGACGTCCGCCCACTACTCAGCTCAGCAAAGGAGGCGTAGTGCAAGGTCGCTCAGATAAGGGGTTCAAGCCCCATCGAATCGGCGTCGAAGAACTGCCCGAGCCCGAAAAGATCACGTGCTTGAGGACTTTCATGGCGGCAGGGTCCCACGTGCCAG